CACCAGTGTTTGTCTAAAATATGAACGCAAATATCAGTATTAAAAAGAAAGCAATGAATGGTTTAATCCAGTACGAAATGTCGAAATTCCATCAGTTTTCTTTCCTTCAGAGACATAATAGGGCTAATTTGGTAAGTAGGACCTACTATCATATATTCATCATCTTTATTCTTAATTATTTTATTCTTATCTTTAATTAAAATTGTGAAATTTTATGTCCCATTTAATATTTAAGGTCATATTTTACACTTTTTAGGTCATATTTGACATAATTTTGGGTCATAAGTGCATGCATATATTTATAGTTTTTAGGTCATAAAAATCCGGGCCCTACTAATAACGAAATATTAAAAATCCGCCACTGACGTCCTAACTGACAATTCAACACTGCAAACCAATCCCTGAATTCGTCACACTTCCTTGAAAGCTCTGGTAGCACTGATATGTAGCACTGATTTCATTGTTCAGAGCTAACAAATAAACGTCTGTCATGAAAGTTCATGAATTTGTTTGGGTTTCAAACCCAAGGTCAAACTGCCAGCACTCACAAAGGAAGCACGTGTCTTGCCTCTAAAAATTATAACATTCGGCGAGCTCGGCTTGCTACTTGCTGCCAATAATTATAACATTCGGCCGTTAAAGGTTAAGGCATCTGCAATTTCTCCTGGGTCCTCAACTTTTTCATAATTTAAAAGGAGATGTAAACCAGACCATTGCTCTTTTTGCTAGTAGAATATATCATGGGGGTGTTAATACCAACATTCAGGTGGCCAGAATGGCTGCAGAGCTACAATACAGGGGAGAATTTGTTTCTGTGTAGTGTTTTTAATAATGCTGTCAGCAGTGCAGACAGTATAGTGTTTAATAATAAGGTGATTAGATTAGTGAATTTGTAGGATATAGAAGGAAAGGGCTGAACCCTAGTTTGAGGTACTATCCTGACACCTGTCTGAAAGGAAGGCCATGAGAAACCTTAGTTAGAATGGTTGATCTCTAGGCTAGAACTTAAACCTGGGACCTCCTGAGTACAAAGCATGAGTGCTAATTGCTTGGCTGTGATGTACAGTTTACTGGAGGATGAAGTGTATCTTCTCAAGGGAGATGTGAAAGAGGTTGATCCATCTGATTTCTTTCCATTGTTTTATTATAGTGAGTTCAATACCAGGGAGTATTAGTACTAAGATATTGACTCTTCACCTACAGGGAGAGCTGGTAAACACCAAATTACTCTGACCCATAAATACATATGATTGTAGTGTTAAACTAGAAATAAGTATATAAGTTAACTGACTTGTGGAGCAGAGTACTTTTGAATACAGTCATACAGAAGATCTTGAAGCACATATAAATGTTAGTGAAATGTGTGGACCATGTATATGTTATACTAATTGCAGTGGTAGTGTTTGAAGATATGTTTTGCTGCGAGCAGGTTGTAAGGTGTCCGCATGGGCATGGAAGTAGCCAGTATGTTAGGCTGAGTGTTTGAATTCTCTAAGATCTGTCATTTTTTAACCACCTCTGTGGTCTAGTGGTCAAGAGTTCCTGGCTACAGATACAAAGGTCCTGGGTTCTATTCCCAACCCTACCAGATTTTCTGAGAAGTAGTGGGTCTGGAACTGGGTTCACTCAGCCTCATGAGGATAATTGAGGAGCTATTTCAAGGAAATAGCAGCTCCAGTCTAGAAAACCGAGACTAATGGAAGTAGGGATCCATTGCACTCACCACTTGATACCCTCTATCTGCAAAAGTTGGCACTAACTTCAACAAGTGGCGGTCGCTTGGTTGGTATAGTTCACTTGCTGACTACAGGTCAAGGAGTTTGTTCTGTCATTTTCTTACATCTGAAGGGAGTTGATGACTATTTCAGTGAATTGTCTGTTACACATAACATAAGTTACATGTTACTCATTCATCTTTATGTATTTACAGGCATAATCACTGACCTGGGAAAAGAACAGCTGAAGTCAGAGAATGATAAACCTGACGTACAGACTGACTCGGAACCGAATTCATTTCATATGTTAAATAGCAGTGCAGTGAATGTTCCATGCACTCTTAATATAGATTTTGGAACAACAACAACAGAGGATGGGCAGAAATCTGACCGTGAAGTTGAAGATGGGACAACACCAGACATAAGTAAAGAAACTTGCTCACATGAAGTACCTGTGTCACCTGTGTACCTGTCTGAATATATTATGTCTTCAAGGAATGAGATTTATGCTGTGGATATGGCAGGACATTGTCTACCAGTGGATTTTGCATGGGCAAGTCATAACAATAACCATTGTAACCATACATTGTTCGAAAACTCCAAGACAAATGATCATTCATCAGAAAGCAGCTCAACGAATGAGTCATATCATTCCTCAAATCAAGGAAAGAGAGAAGAAAATAAATGTGACCAACCTGGTGGAGATAACTCTTCATTCCATGCTACAACTCATCCTCAGGCAACCACTGGCCCATTCAGTATGAGTTTCTCAGTTTCAGATGTGCGTGGAGGTGGACGACCATATGGTACCACATATGCTTACGCGACAGCTTCAACAAATCAAACTCAAAATATATTTAAACAATGTCAAAGCCAAACACCATTTACAAACACAACACAGGCAACGTCTCCAAATCAAACCCAATTTGGTAGTTCATTTAACTACAACATGTCTTCATCAGCAAATGAAACACACACTGGATTTGAACAACGCAAAAACCAAGCACCATTTTCAGACACAACTCGGGCATCTTCTACAGATCAACCTCAGGTTGGTACTACATTTAATCACGGGACGACTTCTTCAACAGATACAGCTCAGAATGATTTCAAACAATGTGAAAGCCCAACCTCATCTTCAGACACTACACAGACGTCATCTTCAAATCGACATGGAGACCCCATTGGAGCAGCTGTCCATATTCTTCCAGAGACTCTTGTCAATGGAGCCATCAGTGTTGCATCTCAAGCTTACACCACAGCCCGTGCTGTTTTAAGCAACTTACGTTCAAGGCCTTCCGAGGTAAATATTTTACTTTGTTCCATACCGCTGTGGCATGTGATGTGCTACCAAGAATCAGAAAAAGTTTGCTAGAGAAAATGGTTTCCTACATGTTGTTGATTTCAGTGCAGTATTCTCATGGAATTGAAATAATATTCCCTATGCTAATGGGCATTACAGAGCGCTCGAGCGCTCATTGTTGCTCGAGCGCTCGAGGTGGACGGACGTGCTGTGTGGTTGCTCCTGCTCCGCTTGAGTGCTAGGCGAGTTAAGAGTGTTTAGTGTAGACGGGCCTACTACTTCTGTAGTTATGGCGAGTAAGGACGTGTGTCTTCTTTGTGATAAACCGTTTTACGGCAAACAGAAATGCATTCGCTGTTGTGTATGTGAGTTGCGTTTCCACTGTAACTGCCTGAAAACTAATATATCTGAGTGCAACGTTGACGCAGCCACTGGTAAGTCATCTTTCACGTGTGATAATTGCGTTTTTGGGAAGGAGCAGTCGCTTCTTAAGAATAATACAAACAAGATATCATCTGGGATGGAATGTTCTGCATCTCCTGCTGGGGATAATGACTCCCTTAGCCGGCAGCTTGAAGCGGTTCGCCTTAATGGAGAATGCACCATGGAGATGGTGAAATCCCTTATGGACATGGTCACAAAGCTCAGCTGTGAAGTGCAAGTACTTAAAAGTGATAATACTGCTCTAAAACTCCAGTTGCGGGATTTACGCCAGTTTCACACACCTCTGCCTTCCACATCATCAGATGCCCTATCATCTACTCGTGATGCTGCTACTAAAACATATAGGGATGTTTTAACTTCGGGAGGTGGTCACCCTGCTTCCACTGCTGCATCATCCATACCCAGCCGGCAGACCTCACTACCTGAGTCCTCTACTATGGCCAGCGACAACCAGGCGGCTGATGGCTTCATAACGGTTCAGAGGAAAAGGAAGGAAAATCAGCCTTATTCTATCCCTTCAGGGGTGCCCAACCCTCAGAGGAGAATTAGGACTCCACTTTTTGGTAACAAAAGCGGCTCATCTCTGACAACGGTACCCAAGAGAGTCAGAACCAAGGCACTTTTTGTCTCCCGCTTCTCTCCTGAAGTGACATCAGCTGACGTTGATCAGTCTTTAAAAGAGCAATTGGAGCTTGCTTCCCTAAAATGCACTAAGTTAAAAACAAAATTTAGTTCATATTCCTCTTTTCACATTTCTGTTTCTGAAGATGATTTTCATTTAATTAACAATACAGATGTCTGGCCAATTGGTTGTCTAATCGCCCCTTATTACGGGCGATTAAATCCAGACCAGATTTACTCTGTTGAAAAGTCGGCCATGTCTAGGCCCCCTTCCCCTCCGACAGGTGTTCCTACCCCTGACCGTACAAGCGGCTCTGCTGGTCCTGAAGGAGCCCCGGTGGAGGGCATCGACACACTTGAATAATGGCTAACACTAGCTTCATGAACACACGTGTTTCAGCCGGTTCACACGCACAACCTGTAACATGTTTTGATATTTATTATCAAAATGTCAGAGGCCTTCGGACCAAGCAGTTCGAACTTTACAGTGATGTCTGTTCTACCGATTACAATATCCTCTGTTTAACTGAGACCTGGCTTAATGATATGTGTTTAGATCATAATCTATTTCCTGACAGTTACACGGTTTTACGCTCCGATCGGGTGTCTGCCAATAAGACTCGTGGCGGTGGAGTTCTTACTGCCCTCTCTTCTAAAATTCGCTCTTTTAAACGTAGGTGTGACTTAGAATTCTATAACGAATGTGTTTGGGTTGAAATTCCCACTCTTGACAATCAAAATTTGCTCATAGGAAACCATTATTTTCCCCCTGATACAAAACCTGAAGTCATTGCCAACTATTTTCGGTCTTTAGAAGATAGGCTGGATACCAAAAACTTTCGAGTTGTCATAGTGGGGGATTTCAACGCTCCTGGTTTCGACTGGAATCATGGTCTGGCCGTTCCTGACTGCCATTATTACTCTAAACTCAGAGGTGATGCGATCTACACCTCCACATGTCTACTTAACCTACAACAGTGCATTGATTCTGTTGGCAGCAGCAATTTGCTTGATTTGGTTTTCACGAACTTTAATGACTATAATATTACCTTTCCTGACTCAGGAATAATAAAGCCCGATACTTATCACCCTCCTATGGTTATTGGCATTAGTCTGCCTCTTGTTAACCCTACTCAAAATTGTGAGTATTCATATCGTAAATATATAGCTGGTGATTATACCTTATTATATAATATTCTCTCAAATTATGACTGGTCGTGTGTGTATGACACCAGTTCCGTAGACGCTGCTGCCGCCAGACTCAGTGCTGCTGTCCAAGATGCTATGGAGCAAGCAATCCCCCGTGGTTTCATCAACAAGTCTAAATTCCCACATTGGTTTTCCAGTTCTTTACGATACTACATCAGGAAAAAGAACTACTTTTACAGGCGCTTTAAGAAGCATAAATCCGCCAGCCTATATGATACTTTTTCCTTCTATCGCAAACTAGTCAAAGCTACAATGAAGATCGACAGACTTAGATGGTTGGAGTCTATTAATGCGAATCTTAAGACGCATCCCAAGCAATTTTGGAAATACGTGGCGTCCTTTAGGAAAAAAAGCTCCACTTCTATTCAGCTTATAGTTGATGGTACTCATTTGGTAGACCACTATGAAGTTGCCAACGCATTTGCTGATCACTTTCAGTCAGTATATAATAGTTCCTCTCCAGGGGTGTTCCCTTCCCTTTCATCATCATCATTGGGATCTCTATCTTTATCACCTGTTTCTGATTCAGACATTTTTAAAGCCATTGCACGTCTGAAACCATCCAAATCTGTCGGTCTTGATAACATCCCAGCATTTGTCATTAAGGGTTGCTCTTATATACTCGCACCTGTCTTGAAGTATATTTTCAATCTTAGTCTCTCTCAGCAGTGTTTTCCTGCATTATGGAAGCAAGCGGCAGTTGTTCCTATCTTTAAGAAAGGCAACAGTGCCTCAGTCAAAAACTACAGACCTATTTCGATTCTTAACAATTTTTCGAAATTATTTGAATATGTTATCCATAACCATGTTTCACATGACCTCAAGTTGAAATTAAATCCCTGCCAGCATGGTTTCACAAAATGTAAATCCACCACCACCAATCTAGTAACGTATCTTGATTTTATTACTCCCCTAGTTGGCTCTCAACGTCAAGTGGATGCCATTTATTTTGACCTAACTTCTGCTTTCGACCTCGTTCCCCACTCTTTGCTTCTTCACAAACTGAGTGCCCTTGGATTTTCTGGTGGTTATGTAAACTGGATACGCAGTTACCTAACCAACAGGCAATCGCGGGTCCGTATCGGTGAAACTATTTCATCGCCCTTTGAAGTTTTGTCCGGTGTTCCACAGGGCTCTGTTCTTGGCCCTCTGCTTTTCAATGTCTACATAAACGACTTGTGTGATTCAATTAAGCACTCCAGGTACCTACTCTTTGCAGACGACATTAAAATTTACCGTGCTATTAGCTGTCCCGAAGATTGTAATCTTCTGCAATGTGACGTTGACTGTATACGTAGCTGGTGTGCAGCGAACTATATGAAACTCAACGCTGACAAAACCAAAGTTATAACGTTCTCTAGAAAAACTAACTATTTGATATACGAATACAAACTTCTTCATTTCACTATAACTCGAACATATTCAGTCAAAGACTTGGGCGTATACCTTGATTCTAAACTTCATTTTCATGATCATGTTAATTTTGTATTTTCGCAGTGTATTAAGATGCTAGGTATAATTCGCAGTATCACATTTAACTATTCAACCCTTGGATGCATGTTCATTTTATATTTTACTTTAGTTAGATCCAAGGTTGAATACGCTTCAGTAGTTTGGAATTCAATTACGTCAACTGATTCAAACAAACTAGAACGCATTCAGCAGAAATTTACGGCTCTCTGTTTTAAACGTTTTTTTCCTCAAGTAGATTACTGTTACGATTTTGCTTTAGAACAACTGAAGTTGCACACCTTGCATAAGAGGAGATATCATCTTGATGCGCTCTTCCTTATTCAAGTTTATCGTGGTTCTGTATTTTGCCCTTCTGCTTTGGAAATTGTCGGCCTTCGGGTCCCTCTTCTATATATCCGAGATTTTCATATGTTCAATGTCTGTTCTGTTAGTAAAAATTGCCCCTCTGCTAGATGCGCTTCTGCTGCTAATGTTGTCTGTAGAAACGTTGACGTCTTTGGACCAAAAACTCTGTTGATGAAACATATCTTATACTGAACTAATTTAACTCTATTATCACTATTTTATTAATTTCGTTATTATTATTAATTAAATGTTTAGGTTTCTTTTGCCCTTCTAAATATCACTTAGTTTTATGATAATGGAATTATTATTGTTATTATTATCATTTATTTGCTTGTTTGTTTACTTTTCTTCATAAATTGCCTGTAACTTATTTTTGACTTATAATGTGTTTGTCTAATGTTTGTATAATTTACACGTAGTTACTTTCATCTGCACTGTGCTAAGTCTATAATTGGCCTTGCGGCTGTTGACTTGGCACATAAATAATAAAGAATTGAATTGAATTGAAAAAAAGACAGTAACCAGTGTATGTTTGAAATTTATAACTAATTTCCTCACCATCATGTAGTATATCTTAAAGCTTTATTTCTGTCAGTTTTTATTGCTTAAATGGCTTCACGGTTCAAGAAAACCATGAGACCCTTCTTATTATCACTGTTATAAGAATTAGAATTTGTGCTGAATCTAAATTGATATTGTATGTGGGAAGATCATGTGTTTCCCATAGAAACCAGTGTGTAAGTTTGATTGTAGCACCTTGATCTGTGTTTTGAAGTTCTGAGTATATTAATTCCACATATTGTAGTATATCTTCTACCAGTTGGTGGGCAGAAAGCTGGTGTCAGATACAGGAGCTTTGTCACAATGACAGATTGTGCAGGAGTTTATCACAGAACAGTTCATTTAATTTAAAATGTTAAGAAAACCATCAAAGTTGTTTAACCTTTAAGAGTCGGCATTTAAACCCCCCACGACTGCGCTGCTGCTGGAGTTAAATTGACGTTGCCCTTTTAATATTGTAGACCTTCAGAAAAAACTACATATTTTCCGTTCTATGCAGCTTAGAAACACGAACTAAAAACCGCCTGAAAGAGAATGAAATTTCCTACAATATACCTATGGCAATTTTTACAAATAAAAACTAACAGTGATTGTTATGTCATGAAATTAAAAATATACTCTCTATTATATGTGTAATGAAATTCCAAAAGACTTACCCATAATTTTTTCTTCAAACTTGAGACGTCGTTATATCCAAAATACATTGACACTATACACCAAAATGTTTGGTCAGACTGTACACGAGTTTCAACTCGTTGCGTCGTGTAAGTTTACGCTACTATAGATACTGCGTGCGGGAGCGCGGAAAGGCAGAGTTTGCTTCAGCGCGTTGTGAAGGTCACACAGACCTCACTTCTCATACGCTGGTAGACAATCTGGTTCAGTCTCTCGCTTAGCAAACAAACAGGAAGTTATTGTTTCTATCTGGCTGGCCGGACAGTGTTGTCAATGTTCAGTTCCAGATGACTCAATGAAAAATCTTGGCTTCCCCAGAGAAACACCAGTTACCGCAATAAATCCCCTCATGTGATTGACGAATAAAATCCAGCCCCATATATATGTTCATTGACAAAGGACACCCTCAAATCACAGTTTCCTTTTCATCACACACAGGTGCGCGTGTGCCAAATTTCATGCAGCTCATCTGGATCCAGATGTCTGGAATTACGTGCACGTGTCTCACGTTCCATTTTGGGGGGGGGTTGCTGATTGTTCGGATACACTGATACCGAAAGTCACAGTGATGAGGATGCCTTTTATTCACAACGTAATTTTGTGACAGTATGACACTGACTTCCTGACTCCACTGACTTCAGTACAAAACAAAAAAGTAACCCTGAAAGCACAGTCCGCCACTGACTCACAAGCTGATAATTCAGACACTCACTAAACACGTCACACTTCCTTGAGAGCTACAGAAGCAGTGATCTGCCCGCACAGAGGAATGTTGGGTCAGCTTTTCTGTGAAGAAGCTTCCACTCTGTTTGGCTGACCAAGTCACAAACAGTCTTACCTACATGTAAACGAAATCGAACCCAGTGCCATGATGAAGGGTTTTATTGTTCAGAGCCAACAACTGGACCTCTGACTTGAACTTGCGTGGGTTTGTTTTGGTTTCAAACTCAAGGTCTAACCGTCAGCACTTCTAAAGTGAGCACGTGTCTTGCGTCCAGTATACTGGACTTTCGGCATCTTCAAGGTCACAGGTACCGTCCGGTATACCGGACTTTCGGTCATTAAAGGTTAAACAGATATTTCAGTGTATTTTGGTTGGTTCTTAAAACCAGCCTCTCATCATTATACTTCTGCAAGTTTCCAGAAATTGTAGTCAACTGTATTTTTGTCTTTTAGGGTGTGACAGTAGGTAGTCTGCACATTGTTGACCAACATTTTGGATGAACATGTCACCTTTATCTTTGGGGTCAGCCTTCAAGATGGAGGAACATATTTTTCGGAAATGATAATGATCTACCAGACTACATATTATCACATCCCAGAAGACATAATCTTCATAGTCACCACATGAAAATCAGAGATCACAGATGTTGTAATATTATGTAATGTTTGTTTACAGGAATTTTCAGAGTGGTACTGGAATGAGACTGCAGGCAGTTGGTCAGCACAGCCTGACAGGTCAACAACAGAGTGCTTGAACATTCTTTTAGAAATGGGTTTCGTTAACAAAAACTTGAATGTGTTGCTACTCCAACGTTATGACAATGACATAGCCAAGGTTGTGGCTGAATTGTTGGCTTACAAGGACAACTCTGGCTTCAGTGGCAATAGACAAATGCAATAAGTATTGATAATTCAATATCTGCATGTAAACATCTGCAACATGTTCATGTAGTCATTTCTAGTGACACCATTTTCAGGCATTAATCTTACATTTCATATATTATGAGTCGTGTTGAGGGTATGATTCTGAAATAGAATATTTTGCTTGAAATATGTTTATTTCTGCAGTTCCTCATTTGTCTCGCTTTGTGTAGAAATACCATAGGCCATCTTCATGTTTTGTATGGTCTTTATTATTATCACCTGTGTTTTCAGAAATGCATACTTAACCCTGAAAGTTCAGTAATCAGTTTCATTTTCAATCCCATTCTTATTGCTGTTGGTTTATCTGTCCCTGATTTGGCATTGCTGTATATATAGTAAAGGAATAACATTTATGTGTTTTAATAAAATATTTACATTTATCATTCAAGATCGGGGATTTTACATGTGCTGGTACTAAAGGGTTGCTGATCACACTGGCTGTGCAGTCTAAGGCATGAACTGTCTTTGCCTGCATGAACATTGGGATCGTGGGTTTGAGTCCTACTTGAATGGATGTCTGTGGGCATTTATTCTGTGTTTGTGTTGTTCTGTGTATAGGTAGTGGCCTTGCAATGGGCTGATCCCCCATCCAAGGAGGCCAATAAACTGTGTATAGACTAAGAAATTGAAAAAGTGGCCAAGGTCCAGAAGGGCTGTAGTGCCATAGGGTACTAAAGGGTTGGCAGCCAGATTTTAATTTGGATGTAACAGTTTATGTCATCTGAGAGTGGGAGATGTTAAATCTCCCAGATGTAATGTGGTTGGTAGCATATTGTAACTCATGGGTAATGGTGTTAGTATTGAAATAATTGAATGCTCTAGCAGTTGGACCATGCCAATATGCTGTTGCAATAATTAGACACACAGCCAGTATAGGTTGAAGTGATCTTAGGGAAATAAGGTAAGAATATTTGGACTGGATTCAACCACACAGGATTGGATCTAATGGCAGACTTTTGTGAGGACAGTTCTGAACCTCCAGATTGCACAGAAATGTGGAATTTCCTGACCAGCTTGTATCTCCTTATTTGGCTAATTAGTTATTTTATTAATGATATAAATCATTGGCCTGTTTTAGCTGTTCACAAAAATGGTGTCTTGGGAAATATAATGTAACTTCAAATCATTTACTTTCTTCAACGATGTTATCACAGAAGAAGACTAATATTAAAACAGTCAGTTGAAAATGATAGGTAATCTTTTGAAATTTATTATACGAACATTAAAATGCTAACACATTGTATGCTTAAATTTCTCATGGTCATTATTATTCATTCGACACAATTCTGATATAAACATGTCATTTGTTCGCATGGGCTGCATGTGTCTGCCTGTTGTGGCCATCATCAGGTACACAGAGCTTTTACAATCACCCTTCTTTCTGTCTGCTGTACCCCCTTACACTGGCTAGTGTTTACACGTTGGGAGTGCATTGTACAAGTATGTTGTTTATGTAATGCCCTTATGTTTTAAAATGTATTAAATATTAAAATTAAAATTTTGAAAAGATTAAAAATTGTAGTCGGAATTAAAACCGAGTTGTGTATATATATTTCTCCATTTGCTTTATGTTGTTGTCCATTTTGTGTTGCCAAATTTTTAGGTGGTGTTCACCATTGTGTGTTCTTGTTTTTTATGGGATTCTTCCTGTGATATTATGTTGGTAATGTGGTTATATGTTGGCCTATAGGTGTGTGGTGTGTTGTTCTGGCATGGTTTCGACAAATGGCTGTGCAGGATGCTACAATATAATATTTCCAATAACGAGTGCCAAAAGTGTAAAAGCTCTGTGTACCTGATGATTGCTGCAATAGGCCAAAACATGTAGTACATGCAAATGCATGGTGTGTTGATACCAAAATTGTGTCGACTGAATACTGATAAACATTGTCTTACACGCAGCATGATGCTATGGTATAATACAGTGCGTACAATCAAGTGCGCGCCGCGGCTGCAATTTGCCGTGAGTCATACCACCGCAGAACGGATGCAACTCCTCCCCACGACTGCAGTCATGGGGGGGAGTTGCATCCGTTCTGCGGTGGTATGACTCACGGCAAATTGCAGCCGTGGCGCGCACTTGATTGTACGCACTGTATTACTCATGTTCATTTAAATAGGAGGTGAAACCTTAGTATTTTTTTATTTGAAGACTGTTAACATTTCCAGCATATAAACTGGATAGACTGCATTACACTATTTTATATTCACGAATTTGTTATTTATGTAAAATAGTTATGGTTATAGTATTTTATTACATAGAAATTAGTGTTTGGAATATTGAAACACTTCAGCTTTTGTTGTATCCCTTATATTGTGGGATTAGTTGCATGCATTCATACCTGTAGTGTGCTTTGTGTAAAATGTAGATATAATCATTAACCATATTGTGATACCTGTTCGCATGTACTGTTGCAGAAGAGAATGTGTGAAGTATTTATACTTGAGTATCCTTTAGTTATAGGTGTAGATAAAATAGGCTTTTTACAGTACTTGTAATACTTGCAAATACAGAGAATTAAGGTTTCATTATTGTAGTTCCTGTGTTTTTAAGCCCTGTAAGAAAGGTAGTATAAATGAACGATTTAATTTTTTTTTCTTCACTTCTTTGGAAAATATCACATTTTAATCTTGTACAGTATGTCCTTACATTTCACGAAGAATATGCTCTAAAAATATGTCTATAATATGAAATCCATAACAAGAACTTCATTTTTCCATTGACTCCCATGTTATAAGAGGTTATGCATTCCTATAGAAATGTTAACAGCCCACAGTTATAGTAAAAAACACTTTCTTACTCACCACAAATAATAATAGATATATTTTCTGCACTGTGCTAGGCATACTACTTGCACCTAAATTTTGTGGCTTTTGCAGTAATACACTGCACAGTTAGAAATATGATGGGGATAGCAGTGATGCTGCCGGCCATCCACCTGCAACACTGATGCATATGTGTAGGCTAGCCCGTGGCTAGCTACATGTGTGTTCTCTGCATGCACATATGCAGTCTGAATTTCTTAAAAATACTAAGGCAGAATTCCATAATGCAAATGTTTGTAATGTGAGGGCACACTGTGTTTATGTTATGTGTGTGTGTGGGTATATTTTGGATGTACTGAACATAATGAAATTTCCTTTGCAGGAAAGGTGAGGGTTTCATATAAATGCAAAATTGCTGGACAACAGTTCTGCAGAACAAATTAAAAGAAACAGTGACTGAAGATGAAAAATTAAAATTGGTATGTTTTATTTTAAATGTGACGTAACATGTTGCCACCTGCAAGTGGCAACTGGTGTTATATCAGAACATTGAGTACATCATGCAACAAGAAATGAAACTGAGATATACATTTATATTTTAATATTTAAATTGCAAATTTTTTTTTTTTTTTAGATTAATTTGAACAGAAGAGCAGATGTTACATGTAATGGAAGTGTTTTTCCAGTATCTGTGAACCTCTCTTTAGAAGTAGCATATATGTTGGGGGAATAAGAATATTGTAGGATTTTAATTTGTTTTATGTATGTTCACATCAGTTGGATGCTTCATTTGATGCCTACTTGGTTGTAAAATGCTTCATGCTGTGGAATATATCCCAGCAATTTTGATGTTTAGAAGTTACTACATTTAATACAGAACTGTATTACAACTAGTACTGTGTTATCTGTAATTAAGTGAAATATTCATCTGAAAAAGAATTCTGATACTGTAACAGTATGATTTGTTCTTTCAGTGGTATAATATTCTTGACATCTGCAAGATAGAGACTATTATATATGAAAGACAAACATTTGGATAAAACTCCAATTAAATATATTAGTTATATATGTAAAATGTTAAATTTTTGCTTATTTGTAACGTATTAAACATCATTAATGTGAAGCAGCAGGTAAATGCTTTGGAATGTTCAAGCTTTAATTGTTTTGTAGTAATGTATCTTATAAACAAACCTGGAAGTAGGTATGGTGAAGGAAACAGTATATGTCCACAGACATGTAATATACTCATATAATAATAAATTGTTACATTATGTGAAAACTAGCAGATTTTCTTGAAGAATCATAAAGTTGGATCCTATTGCGACTGCAGTGAAATGTGTAAATGGTGTTTCATTAATCACTTTGCTGAAGTATTTAAAAGAAACCTGAGTGAAAAGAATTGTGCATATAATCATTAAACTATCACCTGTGCATCACATTACTATGATGGCATTTGCATAGGTCTGGCTGGCCAAACTTCACACTGTTGTTATATAAATACCATTATTCGTAAGCTCATATCCGGCTGATAATGCCATAGTAGTTGGAGATTTATATCCTGTGTCCCTGGATGACAGAAGTTAGTTGAATACTGAAATTTAAGTACTAGAGCAACACAGATTCACCTTGCTGTATAGACTTCATCAGAATGATTGATTAGTGTTTATTAATGTAATCTGTTTGTGGAAGTTTAATCAGTTATTTTGATGATGTATAAACCTGCAGTTATGCAGTTGCTATAAAATATTCTCAACTTCGAGTAATCTCATTTAGGCAAGGGGTTAATTTTTTCTTGTACAGTATATTGTTTCATTGCCGGTGAATAAATGAACATAAAATGTTCAGGAGCACTGTTACATCTAATGGCAAGAGTGAGCCACATATGCAGTCAAACACAGTATACTAACAAAACTGTTATAAAAGATTTCTTGTCTTGTTTAGTGTCTATAGTGCTACAGCATGTGTGTTGAAACTGGCAGAAGTAGATGTTGCTGAAATCTTTTACATCTTTGTAACAGTAGATAGATAGTACATGGTAGGTTTGCACAATAGAATGCAACTTGACACATGGTGGCATAACACATCTCAGATTCAGCAAAGATATTAGTAGATCTCCAATATAAAGCATTGTTTAGACAGTCTGTCCTTCAAATAAATTATTTTAGAACTTTTTTAAGTTATTCCTTGAATGTATGTGTAAATGTCCAGGGAATGTAGGTATTACCACTGCAGATATGTATTGTATAGCATTTAGTTTGTAGTTGTGTTGTTTTGGGTTTAATTACCGACACGCTGCTTATGGTGTTGGTATCCCAAGTGTTTTTGACTCTTTGAGGCAGTGAGGTTTGTAATAATACTAATTTTATTTGTAATTTTAAGTTTGGCTTGATGTTACCAGTTCTTGTTATACACAAACAGAGAAATTAATTTGTGTTTCAGAAATTTTATTGAAATTACTTTGGGCAGTTGATAGTTATGTCATCATAACTAGTAATTCCCTCCTTCCATGACCTTAACTGGAATCTTGTTGGAAGAAAGATAGTTCAAAGTATGCTCATTTTTATAATCTCCCTTACATTCATTACTAAAAGCAAATGAGTTCTATCTTAATGTCTTCACAAAATTTTTCTTCTAATACTATGCTTGTAGTAAATTTTCTGTAAGAAATGTTGTTTCATGGATGCTGTTGTTAGCAATTATGATATTGTCTACATCAGTACTTAGAAAAGTCTTTTCTATACAGAATTCATCCTGATTCAGATCTCTGTTTTCTAAGAACAAGCAAATCTTGGAGCAAAGGTTCATTTGAGTGTGTTGTTTGGAATGCCATGTACGGAAGGCTTGTGACGCCCTATGGAAATGAGTAAATGTGTGATGAAATGATAGTATGCTTGATTTAGTTGATAGTAAACACAGCTTTTGCATTAGTGTAATGTTACTTGTCAAGTTGCAGATATGTAGAACTTGAAATAATATTGTAACCTATATTGTAATATAATAACATGGTAATAAAATTTGTAAATGGTTGTGGTACAAACCACATGTTTATCACATGAACATTGTATAAACTATATCAGTAAATGTCTGGAATATATTACAGCATAATCCATTTTTGGAATGGGTATATATTTATTGGTAGAGAAGAGGATTTCTGAAGTACGGTAGTGAATGTTATAGTTGTGCGTGTTCATATAATGTAATTAATGTTCAGAATAAAATTACATGGTAGAATCAGTTGTTTGATGTTGCTATGTTATGTTTATGCACTCCTTATCCTTCCCACTTCCTTCTACTAGGCAGGCATCATTTCACAGTAGAAGACCATGAATTATTTGAAAAAATGTTACAGTCACTATCAATAGCATGTTTGTTTTTATTTCGTGGATGAACAACTTAGCACCGTGTGTGCATGCGTATATGCAGATTAATGAAATTCCTCAAGATGCTTTACTAGATAATCTTCGTTATCAAGATTATAAAATTTATTGTAAGCAGACAAACTCATAGGGGTATGACGTTTCAGAAGCCTGTTTTCTTCTCATATTCAGGTGGTTGCATCTGGTAGACAAGAGGTTAATGCATTAGCTGTTTATGAAGGAGAACTCGTATTCGGTAGCAACACTCACAAGTAAACTTAAAGTAAAATAAATTGTATAAAATCTGTCGGTTTAATGACAACCATTTATCAAAAAATTGGTTGAAGCCCAGCTTTCGAGACGCCTTATGAGTGAAATATACCTAAAACAATTGACATTGTCAAACATGGTATTGTTATTTGGTTCTTGGTTTCTTTCTAAATTCACGCGTGCACACACAAACACATGCACACTCACGCATGAGCATGGAGGTGGGAGGGGAAACCCATGCATCTGCACCCCCACTGGATTTTTGTGAAAGTAAATTTTAATTGAAGAAAAGAAGGAAATTACCAATTATTAACTTCAACAATTAAAAACTATGTTTAAAATATTATTTTTCTATCCAGAATACACTATGGCAGCCAGTAAAAATAATCTACAGTGTCTTTGGAAGCAAATTTTCAGGCTGCTACCCTCCCCACCTGCCCTTCATGGTGGAGCCCGTGATAATAGTGTATCTTTGTATTATGATGAAATTATTAGCTGAGTACTGTCTTCTGAGTAGTGACATCTGTAGTCTGGTAGAAGTTTACTGGTGTTTTGGAGCACAGTCATTGGCTCCCAATATGGACGTAGTTCCTCTGAAATGTCAGTAACCATCTAGACTACATGGTTCCACATCCCAAAAGATAGTACTCAACATAATAAATGGCATGAGAATAAAAAATGTCACACAATAATTAACCAGCTATATTTTACCATTGTAACAAATCCAAAAGGATGAATCCTTCTAATACCAAAGCCTGACAGTGGCCACAATCCTGAGCCAATATCTCTGTAAGATTCATCATTCCCAAGTTAACTTGTAACAAAAGGTTTTCCCACAAAAATTCTGTATTAATTTTTTGTTATCCACACCCTATCCACAGGCCCACCCTATTGTACGAGGAGCATTCCGTATATAATGCCTCCTATTTTTTTTAATGAAAATTACAGCAGATACAGAAAGCATAATAATGCAGTTAAATAGAGGAAGGTTTCAGCTGCTACAGTTTTTTTTCGACATAATCACCACCATTTGTTATGCACTTTTGCCAGCGATGAACAAGAACCTGTATGCTGCGCCTGTAAAAGTCTGCTCCAGCCATCAGAGGCTAGCCACTTTCTTACAGCTGCAATGACAGCATCATTGTCTGGAAAATGGTGCCCACGTAGTCCATCTTTCATAGGCCCAAAGAGATGGAAGTGTGAAGGTGCTAAATTGGGGCTATAAGCTGGATGTGGTAGGACAGTCCAGCCAAACTTTGGAATGGGCGCAGTGGTCGCCAAACTGGTATGGGGTCTAGCATTATTGTGTTGAAAGCGAAAGGTCTGCTTCTCTGACCTGACTCGGGAAATGCAGGCTTTCAGCATAGTCAGCATCATCTTGTAGCATTCAGAATTGACAGTCTCACCAGGCTCCAGGAAATCCAACAAAATCACATCCTGCCTATCCCAGAAGACTGTGCAACATCACTTTCCTTGCCGATGGCTGTGTCTTGAACTTCCTTTTTCTTGGGGAATCCGGATGTCACCACTCCATGGACTGTAATTTGGATTCCATATCATAGTGGTGACACCACGTCTCATCTCTGGTGACAATGCTGTCCAGAAACTTGTCACCTTCAACCTCAAACTGGTGCAACAGGTCCTGACAGACTTCCATTCAATGAGTTATGTGGTCCTGTGTAAGCATCCGCGGGACCCACCTGGAACAAACTTTGCGATAATCCAGCTTCCCCAACATCGTTTCCAATGCATTACAGCCGATATTAAGCCGTGCCCACAGTTCCCTGGTCATAATCTGCCGATCTGTATGGATGAGCTGATCGAGGCACTGTTCATCGTGAGGAGTGGCAGCTGAGCAGGGACGACCAGGGCGTGGCTTGTCATGCACTTTACTTTTGCCATTGTTGAAACGCACTACCCACCGCCTCACTGTGCTGACATCCACTGTATCATCTCCATAAACCTTTAGCAAGTGTCAAAGGATGTCAATGGGTGCAATTTGTTTGGCAGTGAGGAATTCAATAACACGTCACTTCTATGTCAGACGCCATTTTGGTAGACTGCTCTGCTGTTGCTATCTGTCACATGACAACCAAACTAACAGTACATTGGCGGGAAGGTTCAACCTTTACTACAGAACCACCAATATCCAGCTCAGACGTCACATATTAACACAAAAAATAGGAGGCATTATATGCGGAACACCCTTCATAGCATCTTTGATTTCACTAGATTTTTGTTGGTTGTTTAACAACACTCATTATTAGGACTATATGTAGGGTTTGATGAGGATGATTAATGGATTTGGAGCAGTTTGGGGGATGAGAATTTGCAGGGAACTAAAGTACTCAGAGAAAACTAGCCCCACTCACTTTACCCACCACAAATCCCACATGACTTAACCTGGGTTTGAACAAGAGTTGCCATAGTGGGAAGCTAGTAACTAACCACCACAGGTATCGTATGGCTTGATTTCATTATCTGAACAATACTAGATTATCTATATATAAAAAAAAAAAAATAAAACTATCCCTGTAATATGACATGGAGCCCCATAGGGTTGTGGGGTGTCAAGGCTCCCACATATTGTAGACAGTCAGCTCACAGATGGCAGTGAAGTTTTGAGCCTTACGCACCAGCCACTCTTTAACCCCATGAAGATTCCTGGTACTCATTTCTTTTAGAGGTTGAGTCAACCCCAGGGCCATAGTGCGGCTGAAAGGATTAGATCAATTGAAAAATCCAGTGATATCATCAGGAATCGAACCTGTGACCTTCCGGCATGTAACATAATCCCTGAACCAACTACTCTACTGTATGCTCCTAGATGACCTGTAGAAATAAAAAACAATCTCATCATCCTAATGGAGTATTTACCCCATCCTTAGATCTTTTAAAGACTTCTGGAAAATACGTTTAAGCAAGCTCATATATAAAAGGTAAAACTCAATTTCCAAAGATTCAGATCTAGAACTAAAGGTGTTACAGTTAAATCTGTTTGGAAAAGCTTACGAAAATTTAACTCTGAGGGAATTGGCTGGGACCATAGAAGTTGCTCAGGAAGTAAAGGAAAACATTCAATTGAAGAAAGTAAAATGAGTATTACACTGTTCCTGATTTCATTTTAGGCTTTTAAAATATGTTATATCTGCTTATTATTGTATTTTTACAAATCATTGGCATAGAGAAACCTTCAATCAATACATATGCAGATTTTTCAAGTTTTTAGAGCTTGGAGTAGTGTGTGTTGCCTTGGCAACTGAAATGTAAACAAGTATTTTCCTGCATGGCTGAAGATGCTATTTTTGGAAGTCTCTTAATTTGCAAGTATACTGCTTTGTACTTAATATTGTATTACACATGCTGGACTTGATCTCTGCTATTGAAACAATATTTAACATTAAATTGTCACAAAATGGATACTTACCAAACAGTTCTTTTGTGAGATGGAAGAGGTAAGTTACATGTAATGATATGTGTAGAAACAAAGAGTACATTAGTTTTGTGACATGCATAACTAACTGACTTCATGAAGCTGCGTCCTTCTTGAGAATCTGCTAGTTCTGCTGCTACTCAAGAACTTCCCAAAATTTTATGGAACCCGAAGGTTCATTACTATGTTCACGAGAACCCTCAGCTGGTTCCTATCCTCAGCCAGATCAGTTCAGTCCATACCATCCCATCCTATCTCTCTAAGATCCATTTTAATATTGTCCACCCACCTATGCCTTGGTCCTCTTAGTGGTCTCTTTCCTTCTGGCTTTCCCACCAATATCCTATATGCATTCCTCTCTGCCCCCATTCGTGGTACATGCTCTACACATTCTAATTATACTTGGTGAAGAGTACAAGTTATCAAGCTCCTTATTATGCAGTTTTCTCCAACCTCCTGTCACTTCATCTCTCTTCAGTTCAAATATTCTCCTCAGCACCCTGTTCTCAAACACCCTCAGTCTATGTTCCTCCCTTAATGTTAGAGACAAAGTTTCACACTCATACAGAACTGCAGCAAAATTATGACATGTGTAACACATTGATTAATCTTTATGAATTACTGCTACTTGTAGATTAGAACTAAGTAACCACATGGATGAAGCAAGGTCTTCCTTGAGTACTTTAAAATTATGTAGCTGGTAGATACATACACCCCTCACTTCTAACAATTATTTTGTATTGTTGTAAAGTTGTACTAATATTTGTTTATATAAGTTGAGCTCTAATGTACTAAGGCCTGCACAGGCTTAACACCTTGTTGCTGGGGCTGACAGCCATGAAATTGAGTTTATTAAATTAATTTATATTCCATTTTAATTAATTTAATTTACATTTTATCAGTTTACTTATTCTTATATAAATTATGTGTCTTCCCTTCTCTGTTTTCACATTTTTATGTAATCTTAAATATTTTACTGGGGCATGTGGTAGCATAGTTGGCTCAGGTACTGTGCTACAAGCTGGAAGGTTGCGGGATCAAGTGCCGATAAGATCACTGGATTTATTCAATTGACCTAATCCTTCCGGCCACACTATGACCCTGGGTTCAACTCAGCCTCTAACAGAAATGAGTACCAGGAATTAATCAAATAATTTTCCTGAGGAGTAAAGCGC